CTGGACGTAGATCGGTTTTCTGGGCCTATCTCCTGCATGGCTGTGCCAACACAGAAGAGAAGGTCATCTAAACTACTGCCTCAGGAATTATTATTTCAGATTTAACACGTTTCATTGATTCTCATCTGGCTCATTTAAAGCAAATACTTTTGAGCTCAAGTGCTACGGTTAAGACTTCTGCCTTTTACTCCTACCGCTCATATTCTCCAAGCAGGAATTATGAATGCAGTTTGGTTTTTGTGGAGTAGCTGTGCGACTGGAGGTTGTTTACCTAAATAAAGCATAAGAATACAGTAAACAAGATATTTACCATTTGTTTCGGGAAGTTCCCTGTATCCGACATCATTTTTGTCTACAGGAACAACGAGGCCTGCTCCATGAAAGGCTTTGGTCACCACCTGAACAGAGAGACCGGAAAGTCACTCACAGGACTGCAAATCAACACTGTGACATAAACCCACTCACCTCACCAATGACATTAACACGTCAACGCTGGTGGTCAAACCTAATACAGTATCCAGGCTCCAGGACATCAGCTTAGTTTCAAATTATACAGTAGTTTAAAATAGCTGGAAACTCGGTTTCAGTCAAGTTCTGAAATCTAGGAATCCTTGCGGTCACTTGTGCAGCACTGCACGACTTTTGTTTAGTCACCTCCTACCATAATCACTTCTGATAGGGATGTGAAAAACCTCTATTACCAATTTGTATCATCCTTCATTTGTCCTGTTTCCAGTAGGTCCAACCCAACTGATTACATCGGTCTTCACTTTGAAGCAGTTCTCTCCACGCTCCCCATTTGTTTTAGTTTTTAGACTATTTCCCTTGTTTTTTCTTTAGTGGAATGCCAAGCTATGGTTTACATGAGTATTTTGATTTAATCTACACAAGTGTTTTGATTTAATCCTGTTATTTGGAACACACTTATATTAATCTCCCCTGTCCTGAAGTTTTATAGAGAGCGCTGATGAGCTCTGGAAATTCCTAAATGAAGCATCCTTACCGACTAGAAGGAGGAAAGACAAAAAATAAAAGAAACAGGAAAGTAAATGAAAAAAAGTTTAACAGAACTTAGTTTTCTCCAGTGGATCATGAAAGTCATACTTTCTTATCTCTCTGTTTCATCTTCATGGTTTTCTGTTCCAGAGAATAACCCAGTTCTTTTGCTGTTCTTGTTAGTTTTTCATCTATGTCTTTCAAAATAGCATTTTTCTTTTTATCAGTCACTTCCTGAAGTTTTTTTGACAAAAATAATCTGCAAACAGAAGAAACATGTTGTAAAAGCGCTTAACAGAGAACAAACCAACGAACAGCCTTCTAATCACTAAACCTCCCAATCTTGTAATGAAGATCAGCCGTCATGGGTTTATTTATACACACAGATTCAGGAATGCAAGCCTCTTAGCAAGAAGAAAGAAAAGAAGTTTGGCACGGACAGTATTTCAGCCTTTCCTATCTTTATTTGCATTACAATATAGTTCATGCAGCCTGCAGGTGCTGAAGGTTCTCCTGCACTCAGTAGCTGCTCATCTTTCTATCTTAGGAGTTCAGTTTGCTGCCTCAGTGCTCTATACACTATTTGTCATCCCAGTCATGCACATAAATACATATTTATGAGTTTCATCATGGTGCTTTCAAAACAAATGCCCTCGTTTAACTTGGCACTGCACAAGGGTTCTTCTGCAGCAGCGTTCCTTCAGGACGCTTTCACTTACTGACACGTGTCTGTCCTTGGAGGCCTTTCTAACTAACAGGGGATGAAATCTGTTGTTTGCATTCATGATGCAGGACCACGTAAAGCCTCATGAATCATACAGAATTACATATCCACACCAATGTTATCCTGTCCCAGGTGACAAATGGTACGTCTTGTAGTTAGTCATTACATACAAACCCAGTGTATTTTTACATAGCCCAGAACAAGAGCTAGATGTACTCATTTCGTACGATACTCAGATTTCTTTCACTGCTGTTTGAGATACCCATTCTTTACCTACAGAGTATTTTAACACACCCAGTGGGCACTTTTTTCTCTTATAGAGCCTATCCCTGCCAATATATTTAAAGAACAAAATAATTAACACTTGCCTACTTTACCTGTAAAAGGAAAACACTGTCAAGAAGCCTATTAAGGCTTCTGAGAGTACCTTAAAACTTCCTAGCAGGAGCAGAAAATAAGTGAGGGCTTCTTGACAGAGAAAGATACGTAGTGAGTTAGGTGCATTATTCCACAGCACATCTCCCAATTAATAGTTTATCTTCTACTCCACTCTTTATAAATAAAAGTAATTATGAATCTTACTTGACTGCGGCAAAGACATTATCACCAACTTGTGAAATCACACAGCCCTTCTTAGCTTCATTGGCACCAACCCACACTGGAAGCTCATCTGGCACATCCCTATTTATGAAAAAGTACACACAAATAGTCAAGTTTCTCCTATTTCAAAGCAAAATTAATTTTTCTTCTCACCATGGTGCCACCTCCTTCAGAAACTTAGCAGGAAACGACCTTAGATACAAAGCTCTAAAACGTTACAGCAGGGCTTTCAAAGGAGCTTGTATCAACACACATACAGAGAATACACGTTCCTTTGTTTCATAAGGCTTGACTTTTTTTTTTTTCCTAAGTATCATAGCAAAAGTTAAAGATTAGTAAATGAAGGTGCCCTGGAGGGTTGGGGGAGGTAGTTTAAAAAATATTTAAATCTAATCTTCAACTCAAATATCTGTGATCTTTTTAAATAAAAGATCTCAACCCGTGTATTAATATTCTACTACAGAAGAGTAAGATTCTTGTTTGGTGATAGCACACAACTTTCAAACCCTGCCTCATGGAAAAAAAGAGGAGAAAAAGTCACACATAATTGTAGTCCAGCAAGAGCATATATTAAATGAAATACCTGAAGTATCCCATGTGATACTGTGTTTTGGTATCCCCGACAAGTATAGTCTGGAATTCTGGGGGATCATAGAAGAACCTCCAATGAAGATTGAAGTCCAGATCTGTTGATTTTGCTTTTTTGTGTTTTCCAGCAAGAATATCATATGGTCCAACCAGCGTAAGTCCAACACTTGACGCAAGTGCATCTGAAAAGCAAAGCATGAGCTGGTTTACCTCCTGGTGGGAGCAGACCTAAATGAAGAAGTTCCTGTGTCACTCGGGCATGAAAAGCTTCCATAAATCCAAACAGTCACTGTTTACCAGACAAGGAAAGCCAAGACATTCTTTTATTCAGCCAGCTTTCATTCAAGAGTTAGGTTAGTACCTCGCAAGCAGTAGCCGTCAACAGTTCAATGTTCGGTGTCCCTTGGGGTCAGTACTGGGACCAGTGCTGTTTAATATCTTCATCAGTGACGCAGACAGTGGGACTAAATGCACCCGCAGCAAGTTTGCCAATGACACCAAGCTGTGTGTGCGGTTGACACGCTGGCTGGAGGGAAGGGAGGCTATCCAGAGGGACCTGGAACAAGCTCGAGAAGTGGGCCTGCGTGAACATCATGAGGTTCGACATGGCCAAGTGCAAGGTCCTGCGACTGGGTCAGGGCAATCCCCAGTATGAACACAGGCTGGGGGATGAGTGGATTGAGAGCAGCCCTGCAGAAAAGGACTTGGGGGTGCTGGTGGATGAAAAACTGAGTATGAGCCAGCAATGTGCGCTCATAGCCCAGGAAGCCAATTGCATCCTGGGCTGCATCAAAGGAAGTGTGGCCAGCAGGTCGAGGTGGGTACTCTACCCCTCTGCTCCACTCTGGTGAGACCCCACTGGGAATACTGTGTCCAGTTCTGGGACCCCCAGCATAAGAAAGACATGAACCTGCTTGAGTGAGTCAAGGGGAGGGCCATGAAGATGATCAGGGTCTGGAGCACCTCCCCTATGAGGACAGGCTGAGAGAGTTGGGGTTGTTCAGCCTGGAGAAGAGAAGGCTCTGGGGGGGATTTCGAGCGGCCTTCCAGTACTTAAAGGGGGCCCACAGGAAAGGTGGGGGCATTCTTTTCAGCAGGGCCTGCTGTGACAGGACAAGGGGTAATGTTTGTAAACTAAAAGAAGGTAGATTCAGACTAGATATACGAAGAAATTTTTTAAAATGAGGGTGGTGAAGAGGACAACACTGGCACAGGCTGCGCAGAGAAGTGGTAGAAGCCCCATCCCTGGAAACATTCAAGGTGAGGCTGGACTGGGCTCTGAGCAACTTGATGTCCCTGCTCACTGTGGGGGGGTTGGACTAGAAGGCCTCTAAAGGTCCCTTCCGGCCCAAACTATTCTGTGATTCTATGATTCTAAAAGAAACTGTCATTTCTGGAGCACTGTTATATAATAAATCTGGGGAAGTTAAACCTGGATTGATATGAGGAAACTTCAGTTCCATACTAAACATTTTAAATGTACTTGCAAGAAAGGCAGACTTAGACAGTGTTTAGTCCCTTCGTATTACACGATTTAAGTAACTGTATTTCAAACACCTTGAAGTGTACCAACCTCTTTGTGATTATCTCCAGTATTCTTGTTTACACTTACGTAAATATCCTGAATCTTAACCAAAAACTGAAGCAGCATTAGAATGCATATGACCACCTCCAGTTTGTCTGCCTTAAGGCTGTTTTTGAGAGCAAAAGTTAGAAAAGGCAAAAAATATTTTAAAAACCCACCACTTGGTTTCTCAGGATCTAGTTCCTCACAAAACTTCCAAAACTGGTAGAAGTCTTCAGGCAGTCTAAGCCGATAGCATGTTTCTGCTTCTTGACGAAGACCATCAGGGATATCTGCCTGACCTGACCTTCTCTTCTTGACATCTCCATTTCTTTCACACTACATATAAAAAGGAACCAAAACACCAGAGTTCATTTAGTCGCTTTCTGTCAGTTCTACTGAAGGATTTTATAAAAGCTTCTGTATTGACGAAGGAACAATGATTAAGACCGTTAAGCCAGCATATATACTTATTAGAACATCCATTTTGGACAGAGTCCCTTAAAGGTGCATTATCTGAGACACGTGCTGAACATGTATTAAATAGCAAAGTGCTACTTTGATATTAATGGGTCAATATAACCAACAGAAGCACTTTTATTAGTTAATCAAGCAAAGCACTAAGCAATCCCAAAGTTTAATCTAAGTTCTACATTATTTTAAAATGACCATTTCCAATCACACAGCAGCTTGCATCCAAGAAACTCATGTGCTTTACAGAGAGCTGGAAGCAGAGATACCCATTTTGTCCTGTCTGGTTAAATGACACAACAAAAATCCTCCAAGTCTGAACTGCTCCGCTATTCAACATCTGAGCTGGTGCAGTTTACAGCATAGCATTTTAAAAGCGGCTTAAAGTTAAGCTGTTTTAAAAAACGATGTAACGTGAACCGAAACAGGCTAGGAAGTGGCCCATTCAAGCACGCATGCCACTAAAGCGGTAACCTCAGCTACTTCATTCCCACCTAAGGCTCCAAGAACTGGTAGGAATTATTAACCCCCGGCTTTGAAGAATAATAACAAAAATAAATAAATACAAAAGGCAAGGTTCCTTTTCTCTTGTGAGGCCAGCACAAGGAGGCAGACATTCACCTCTGAAGCGGGCCCCCCCCAGGGACTCAACCGTACCACGAAGGCCGTTCCCAGCCGC